CAACAAGCCGACAAACGAGCAGACCCAGAAATAAACTCAGGGCACAAAGCGAATTGATTAATCAACTTAACAAAGTCCCCAATAAATCAGAGAGGGAAAGGCCCCAGTATTTAAACATGAAGACAGCAAACGGAGACCCAAGTAGACCCTACACAGGCAGGCAAATGACCCAGTTTTCTAGCTATGAATCTATCTGTCTGTTTGTCTGTCTTTCTGTCTTTGGAGTGGCATTAACAGAGAGATAGAATGAACTGTGGGTTCCCCCTGGAGGCACGTTCTTCTGCTGAAAAACTGATTCCAATATTTCATTCACACATTTTTAACCCAAATTCGAAAATGTCTTTACATTAGTTTCAGGGGGAAAACAACAAACAGCCCAGACTAAGTGCTTCTTCTACACATGTCGAACAGCATTCCAACAAAATTGATCTTGAATGTGGATGGTTGGATGGATGAACCCAAGATGACAGGCAGACAGACGGACAGACCGACGGACAGTAGAGAAACGAGACGCCAGCCAGAAAAGCTTGAGAGGTAAGTACACTCGACACATATTGCCTCAGCCTCAGAGCCATAATTATTATTATATTGTGACTCTCTGTTTTGTCGCAAAACTTCGCATGTGGCATGTGGGCGATGCCTCTCGGATACTGCCTGTCATATATGGCCTCCATTTATCCGACGGTTTATAAATACTTTACATACGGCTTTGGCAAGCCATAAGGTAATGATATTTTCGTTTTCTCATTCAATTGAATTTCTGGGCTCTGTCTCTTTCTAAAGGTGCGCCCCATATATGGATTTGTCGACTCAGCCACTCAATTGTCAAATGAATCTGAAATTCGAATGCATTGCAAACGATTTGCAGAGAACTCTGGTACATAAAACTCTATCAATAATATATACGAGAGACGTGTTCCAATTAGCCAAAGATGCTACCGCTTGGGGTTGGATAAAACGAAAACTGCAATAAACACAAGGGGCTTTTCTCTATGATTTTTGGGGTTGCCACAAACTTAATATGCAGCAAGTGCCCGCCTCTACTTCCGCCAGCTGGCAAAATAGTATCTAGAAATTCGCCATAGAGTGGGGCGGCGCACTCACTCCCGAGTCAGTTCCGTGCCACATGGGGGGGAACGCACAAATAGCATGTCAAGGAAACGGTGGCAAAAACAGCTGAGTGTCGGAAAGAGAGCAACCACAACGGGCGACGACTCTTTCTCTCACAGCAATCGATTTTTCCCAAAAGAACCAAAACTTGTGGATACATTTTATGTGGCTGCAAAATAAACTTTACCTGTGCAAATGATATGTTTAAGGGGGTCTCCAAATTAATCCGTATCCAAGCAATCAGTTTATTTAGTGGAAGATAAAGCACCACAAATTATACGAGTTTCAGTATCAGTATCCGTGAGTGTGTGTAAGGAAATATAGCACTCCGTTTCTGAACTTTTTATGGGCTTTGTTCGTACAAAATAAATAATTCTTTATGCACAATACCAGAACAGATATAGTAACAGAAAGCACTTGTGGTTTATATATAATTGCCACATGGATTTTTCACATAAAAATCATTTCGAAATGCACTTCTTTTACGCACGATATGGAAACGCAATACACACTATCGAGAGAGTGAGTCCCGTAACAGAGAGCGAGAGAGAGAGAGAGATGGATTTGGGGGGTTGGGCAGGCGGCTGGAAGGGTGAATGTGTGAATGGATGGATTGGGTGTGGTGAATTTTCTCGAAAAGCGCGGCCTCTTCTATCGATTTGGCAATTCGTTTGTAGGGGAAAAATGCACAACACAAACTTGAGGTCAAACTTTAGATTATATCATAAACTAACGGATTTACGGCACTTTGCACACCAATAACCGCCAAGGAATACGCGTACATATATTTCCAGTACGGATACACATACACACGATAAGGCCAGGGGCCGTACAGAACGAGTGTGATTCCGATTCCACGAGCGAGGCGAGCAACGAGAAACCACGTCCGACCGTCTATGTGTGGCGCTGCTGTGTAACTCTTGTGTGGGGCGCCGCTCTTGGGCCATGCCACTCACTCCGCCCGCTATGCTGGCGCTGCCAGAGCATTGGCAGAGGCAGAGACTGCGCAGCCAACAGCGACTGCGTCGCCCCCCCATCAGCACAGACATTGGGAGAAGCGTATTCCAGGCGCATGGGTTGACCAACATAAATCACAGAGAAAAAACAACAAAGAAGAACCAACAAAAGTTTGGACTGAGGGAGTACCCTAGCTTTCGAAGATTGTAGGTGATATTATAAATATTTACTTTATTAGAAGCATGTTGTTCCTAGAGGAGATGTAACTATTTTTTGATAATTGTATTTATTATTCTTTTCTTATTTACGTACACATTTGCTTACTCAAAATTAAATACCTTCTGAGCGGTGTCACATAATGTTCGACAAACACGATCTACCCATTGAGCATGGAGTGGAGTGAGCAATATTTCGAGAGCGGGAGAGTAGAAGAGCGCGAGTCTGAGATTGCAAAGAGAGTGCATATGCAGCTGATAGCTGATGGCAACGGCGAACGGTATGACACACACAGCCGTTGCTGCTCCACAATCGCCCAGACCCCTAGTTATGTGTGTGTATGTGTGTGTGTGTGCTGCTGATAAGCGTACGGGAAATCGAATCGTGGGCTCTCCCATCAATTACCAGAAAACACACACAAAGGCACACACAAAAAACTGATCGGTCACGCATGCGCCCTCTCCCCCCCTGGGGCAATAGTTCCGTAGGAAACTGGTTTCAAGGGGATTTGACATTTTAAAGACGCTTGTTGCCCCCACTCCTCTCTATCAACAAGACACAGCACAACGCATTCTATGCAGATTAGTTTTGTAATCAAATCGACCACAAGGCGGATCGGATCGGTTCGGATCGAAACGCTACGCTAAATGGCATGCAATTTTCCAATGACAGGCAGCGAGAACCCGTTGTTTCGAGGTTAATGACATCTGATAATGGTCATCTATTATGTATGCATTTCCAGTATGCAGTTCTGAAACGATATATTACCCAAGAGATAATGATGTGGAGATCATTTATTTGGGTCGGTGCTGCTGCTGCTATGTTGAGGGGTCTCTGGTGCAAGGCACAGCGAAACGGATTTCATGGCATGGCAGACTTTCAATTATCAAGCAAAAGAAAGTGTGAACAATCCGCACTAACAAGAGCCAAAGAAGTGAAAACTTGTTCGGTGAATTACAAATTTACTCACATCTCCGTTGCGGTGCAACCCTAGTGATTAGAGAACTCACCACAGCCATGTGGCCCCCGCGCCTTTCCACGGCGCAGGCGCACTAAACGCACCAGGAAGTCCCCGCGAGTCACAGAGAGAGAGAGAGAGAGAGACATTTGAATGAAAATATATGTTACAGGCTTTTTTGGCTGACATAAAGGTAAAGAATCTACATAAATTGCATGCACAGCCACAGCGCAGCGCGTTTTGATGAATCATTTGGTTAGGTTAGGCCTGCTGCCACTGTGGGGTGGCTGGGGGTGGTCTGTCTGTCCCAAGGGTTGAGTCACTGCCTGACTGCCTGACTGCCCGAAGAAATACATAATTGATTCGGTACCAGACTGCGTGACTGCGCCTCTAAATGCCAGCTGTTTAAGGGACAGTAAACAGGGGAGCTTTCATTGGCACGACTGGCAAGGGGGCTGTAAACATTTAAAGACAGCCGAAATATAAGCAATCAACATACAAGAAGAATTAATGACCAAATTTGTTGTTGGCCAACTTCCGGCATTACACGAAAGAAAAAAGGTTCTCCAATCAATGGAAATCAATAGAGGGAGAGAGAACCCCATTCAAGGCAATCAAATGCAGGCGGGGCTTGAACTTCTTTCGAGGGCTTCTACCATATCATTCAAATGCAAATTCAACGAGATTTTTGTTGGTATGGGGAGCACGCCCTGATGGATAGAGAGGCCCTATCGATACGTTTGAATGAGCAGCAGCAGCAGATGCGATGGCACCTAAAGATTTACAAACGTGTGATACCATCGTAAGCTTAATTATGATGAGATTTCCATAAACAAAGCGACAAAGCTTTTGCTGTCAGTGCCAAGCTCGAATTATCGCGTATGTTTTTTTTTGTTTTTTTTGTATTTCGATATGGGGTCTGGTCTGAAACGAGTTTGTGGAAAAGACAAAACACCACAGAGAAACGGAGAGAGATATTTCAAGTAATTTCTTAGTCATTCAAAAAGCAGACACCGACCATATGCGAGAGCTAGAGGATAGAACTGCAGAGGCGAACCTCGGAGCTGAGGCATTGGCGATGCGATAATTATCAAGTTAATTACTCGACGCTAATTAGTCAGCAGCGCGTGAGAGGCTTGCAAAGGTGCCCACGGTGACCCTAGGTCGCGGCTGAAACTAAAACCATTATGCTGTTGCTAATGCTGCTGCTGCTGCTATGAAAACGAAAGGTAAAATCCAAAAGATAACAAAAATCCAAGCCCCGTGAGCAATGAGTGATAAAGACAAATGGCATGCCGAAGCGCATGCATGGGGGCATGGGAAAGACAAAATCCAATTGGTACGGAAACTGGAGCTCGAAAACCATCCGAGGAAGAGAGCAAAGCGGCAGCGGCAGCAGCACCAGCATCAGCGGCAGCGGCAGCGGCAATGGCAACAGCAAATCAACTTAATGACGACAGGCTGGCAACTTTTCAAACGGTTTTATCTGGGGAGATCGTGAGATGGAAGTGGTGCCGTACCCTGCTCTGAAAGTGGAAATGAATTTAAGTTTGGTTTTATAATCAAACCCAATAAAACCCAAATAACAATGGTGGCAGGGAGGGGGGGAGCACACTTCCATGTAGGAAAAAAATCGATGAGTGCTCAATTAACTGTTATTTGCACACACACACACACAAACGCACCTACATCGCATCACGCCTACACAAACACAATCTCAAGAAAACACCTATACATGCTTAAATTCAGATAAAGTTACCTTTTTCTTTTGAATATTATTGTTGTTTTTATTGGGCAATCCGATCCTCAACAAAGATTCGTGGTGGTGGTGCTTCGCTGCTGCTGATGCTGCTTCTAGTTCCGCCTGCGCCTCCAACTGGATTGGCAAATGCTGCCACTCCCACACTCCAATTGGCACTTGCAGTTTTTTGTAGGGCGCGTTTTCTGTGTGGACCAGGCTCAGACACACACACACACACACACCCACCTTTTTCGTTGCCAAAACTACTGTCTCCCGTTTCGCGAGTGTGTGGACCACCACTGTTTAATAATTTACTTTTGCCTGTATTAACAGTTATGTCAACCTGTGTTTTTTGTTGGCAGCGCGGCGTCTGCGATGCGTCGTCGCTGCTGATTTTTGTTGTTGCAAAATTTCGTGTAAATCATGTACAATGGGGGTGGATAGCTGCAAGGTGGTCGAATTCACTCGCGTTCGATGGGTTTTACGTGGTTTCGAATGCACTATGTGCCGCACGCATAATTTGCCCAAAGGCAAATCGTCGGATTCGTTAGTAAATTGGCTAATTATTTGTTTTAACACGGAGAAAACTTTCGACGTCTTTTTGGTTGAGTTTTTTTTGTTAATCTTAGAGATGTCAAATATATATTGATTTCTGCATATATCGATATATATTCTTCGTTGAAAGTGAGTGATATAAATTAAAATGGAATGCATTTACTATTAAAATATATATTTCTGTAAATTGTATTAGCAGGGAATCTACTTTCCTATATTTCAAGAAAATGTTCTGCTGGTTTTCTGTTTTTTATTCCACCTATCTATGCAAAAGAAAATATCGGTAGTTTTGTGCGATAAGCTGAATATGAATCAAACTGCAATTAACAAGTGTGTACTTTTTCTTGATATTTTTTTCCAACATTGATTACTTCGAAAGGGTGGTTCTTCTGTGATTTCTTATGTAGCCATGTGGTCTAGGATCTACTCAACTTCATATTTAAAATTTAAATGTTGAAATAAGACTGATATTCAACTGTGCAGCTGGTATGTGATGTGCCAGCAGTGTTGCATTTCTGGACAAATCGATAGGCAACGCCGCAAAATAAACAAAAGAAATTTGTTTATAGAAATGCTCATTAATGTTGTATTATTTATATGGTTAGTGGGCTTGATCGGAGAAGCCAGTGGAGAAAATGAAGGACTATGCAGCACAGATGAAAATACATCCTGCGCCGACAGCATTGATTCTCACGATGAATGTAAGCAACTTGTTGCCGGCTTCTGACATTAAAATTTTGATTAAAATGCTGATTATCACACTCTTTAGTTAGCTACGAGATTCTACGAAATATTAAGAAGGCACTGGCCGGCTATCAGCCGTGCAGCAGCGATGTGAATGATGCCAACTGCAGCTGCCACGCGGCGGTAATCAAGCGAGATCTGGCTCCCTACAAGGCAACAGGTGTCAGCCGCCAGATGATCGAGAGCTCCGCCAAGTTCGGCACTCGGTACAAAATATACGAGAAGAGTCTGTACCGCGATGAGACTTGCATGTTCCCGGCACGCTGCCAAGGCATCGAGCACTTCCTGCAGCCGCTGGTGGCCACGCTGCCCAACATGGATCTAGTGATCAATACGCGCGACTATCCGCAGGTAAACACTGCCTGGGGCAACGGCGGACAGGGGCCCATTCTCTCCTTCTCCAAGACGAAGGACCACCGAGACATCATGTATCCCGCGTGGACCTTTTGGGCTGGTGGTCCGGCCACAAAACTGCATCCCCGTGGCATTGGGCGGTGGGACTTGATGCGGGAGAAGCTGGAGAAACATGCGGCAGCCATCCCCTGGTCGCAGAAGCGGGAGCTGGGCTTCTTTCGCGGCTCGCGCACCTCGGACGAGCGTGACTCCCTGATCCTCTTGTCGCGCCGCAGTCCGGAGCTGGTGGAGGCGCAGTACACCAAGAATCAGGGCTGGAAATCGCCCAAGGACACGCTGGATGCGCCGCCCGCCGACGAGGTGTCCTTCGAGGATCACTGCAAGTACAAGTATCTGTTCAATTTCCGTGGCGTGGCAGCCAGCTTTCGGCTGAAGCATCTGTTCCTGTGCCAGTCGCTGATCTTTCACGTGGGCGACGAGTGGCAGGAGTTCTTCTACGACCAGCTCAAGCCCTGGGTGCACTATGTGCCACTGAAGAACTACCCCAGCGAGCAGGAGTACGAGCAGCTGTTGACGTTCTTCAGGAAAAACGATGCACTGGCCCAGGAAATTGCTCAGCGGGGACGCGACTTTATCTGGCAGCATTTGCGCATGAAGGACATCGAGTGCTACTGGCGAAAGCTACTCAAAGGCTACGTGAAGCTGCTCACGTACGAGGTGCGGCCAGAGGATAATCTCATATACATTAAGCCAGCCAAGGACGAGCTTTAGTTTCATAATGCAGGGAGATTCTTAGAGCTATCCGCTACATGTCGAATATATTTTTGACTTTCTAATTAAAATTTCAATTTCCCGGGCTTGTGTCAGTGTGACCTGCCCTTTTGTCTGGTCAATTGTGACGTCACGAGCAGTCAGCTGTTGCTGCCTGAGGTTTTTGTAATTTGTGCAAGTTCTGAACGTTTCCTGCGATTCCCTACCATGACAGCACAACTGAATCCCTTTCGGAAAGCTTTCCAGCAGCCGACGAGGCAACGCATCAACTGGTTCCCCGGACACATGAACAAGGGCATGCGCCAGATCCAACAGAAGCTGCGTAACGTCGATTGCATTGTGGAAATACACGACGCGCGCATTCCGCTTGCCGGTCGTAACTCTCAGTTCTTCGACACCATAACGGGTACGACACGATCAGCATCAACCCCCAGATGAAGACATTGACCAACTTTCGTTTCCCCCTTCCCAGGCAGCGGCGTAAAGCCGCATATACTTGTCCTCAATAAGATCGATCTGCTGGGCCCCAAGCAGCAGCGCAGCGTGACCCAACAGCTACGCCGGCAGCAGCCGGAACTGAGGAATATTCTGTTTACCAACTGCAAGGATCAGCGGAATCATGGAGTGCTGGACATACTGCCCCTGGCCACGCGACTGGTGGCAGACAGCAGTCGCTACAATCGCGCCCAGAGCGCCGAGCACAACATCATGATCATCGGCGTGCCCAATGTGGGCAAGAGCTCCATCATCAATGTGCTGCGCAATGTGCATCTGAAAAAGCGCAGTGCCGCACGTGTTGGCGCAGAGGCTGGCGTGACGCGTGCCGTCGGGGAGCGCATCAAGATCCAGGAGAAGCCAGCGGTCTACATGATCGACACGCCCGGCATACTGCAGCCATCGGTGACGGACGACGAGATGGGCATGAAGCTGGCGCTGGTTGGCTGCCTGCCCGATCACATTGTGGGCGAGGACTTGATTGCCGACTACCTGCTCTACTGGCTGAACAAGCACCGACGCTTCGAGTATGTGGAGAAGCTGTCGCTCAGCTCCGGTCCCAGCGACAGCATCAGCACTGTGTTGGCGGAATACGCGCACACCGAAGGCCTGTTCCACCGCGTCAAGCAGTACGACGGCCAGGTGGAGGTGATGACAAATTTATTGGCTGCCGCTCGAAAATTTATACATTTTTTTCGCACCGGCCAGCTGGGCAGCATCAATCTGGATGAGCAGTCATGAGTCTTAGCCTAGGGGTTACATATATGTGTTTGTTAAGTAAAAATGAAACTGTTGGAACTGGTGGGGCTGTTCATTGGGCATCTGCCATGGGCACATCGATGGCTATGTCGCCCACGCCAGGCACCGGAATGGAGTACGAAACTCCAACGTGGCTGAGGTCCGCATCGTCGCCGAGTTCCATGGGCACATGTGCAGCACTATGCAGTTGGCTCTCCATGCTTAGGTCACTTGTGGTGGCCGGCTCAGGTGCAGCCTCAATGGACGCACTGCTGGTGACTGCGTAGCCCGTGCGGGCGGCCACCGCTCGCAGCTCCTCTGGCACGCCCTTCATGCGCTTGGCTATGTTGTTGGTGTACGGCGCCAGCTTTTGATAGTACTCGACGAGCATCTGGGGATTCTTCTCGGACACCTCGCTGTTGGACACCAGATCGAATTCGTCGCAGAAGTGCCAGCGGACCAAATACTTGATTTCGCCGCTCACGTCTGTGGCTCCCATAATCTCGGCCAGGTCGAGGCCGCGCTCGTAGCCGCGTGCCTTTTGGATTTCCTCGCATTTCGGTTTCTTTTCGCCGCGCTTCTTCGACTTGGCACGGGACTCCTCGAACCTTTGGATGAGTGCCGGGCAATCGCAGTTCTCCTCGGGTTCCCAAGTGTTGTCTGTCGCCTGGTAGCCGCGCCATTTGATCAAATACTCCACCTTGCCATCGCCTGTGATTCGCTTATCCACGATTCGCTCCACCACGAAGTTGGGCTCGTTTTTTCCCATTTCCAGAAGTTTTCTTTCGAGTTGTTTACAATTTTTCAATCTGAGGTTGGCGTGTACACAACAATTTTCCGATATATCGATACTAATCGCATATACATCGATACAAAAAAGGATTACATGTAAATGGCTGAAATACATGGCTTAAAATAATAAAAAACAAGGTTAATAAGAATAGCATCGTACATTTTATGTATTTTATGTTTTAGCGCTACAGGGGCTATACATAAGCCGCATTTCATATATTCAATATGCTTCTCGATTGAATCCCATGTGAATGTCATTTTGGAATTTGATATCCACGCGTCTTTCGAAAGTTTAGCGCTTCAGCTTCAACAATGGATAATCTTTTGAAAGATTGGTCCAACTGGAATCCAATGGCCATGGAATACAGCAACGAAGGTAGAGCCTTCGTAGATACGTTTGGCCAAAATGTGGTTGAAAAAGCGCAAGCGCCCATGGGTAAAAAAAAGGCGCTCGACAAAAACGCAAATACCGAATATCCGTACTTGGTTCTTAAAAAAAAAGTGATGCACATTAGCAAATGTGCGTTGATTAATTTCTTTGGCCGTAAACATGTACGAAACATTGACAGTCCGCCTAATTCGGACCACTTCGTGGTGTACTTCAATGACTTGGGGTAAGTAGAACTCGCGTCGTATGGTATGAAAAGCTCAAAATTAAGTAAATATCTCTCCCTGCAGTTCCTTGGAGTCGGCGCACAGTACACTGGAAGCATTTCCTCAATTGCTGCAAGTGAAGCGAAGCCATTGCGGCGACCAAGAGAAATTCAGGTATGAGAAAATGTCCATGCAGATGAGTGCCGCCAACAGGATGCCCGAACCAGTGAAGCTTCCAGCAATGGTACCCACACATCGTGGACCAATGGACACACAATCACGCACCATACACTTTTCGTGTAACGGTAATAAACATCCAGAGTTTCTGGCAGTGCCCATAGTGGACTCGTCGTGCTACAAAAGCGGCTCTCTCATGGCCATTAGAGACGCGAAGAAGCGCTTTCTGAAGGTCAAGTTTGAGTTTAATCTAGAGCGCCACGGGGCCTATGTGCTTGAGAAAGAATACAAAGAGGAAACATACTCGAAGCCAGTGATCCAGCAGATGCGTTGCGGCAGACAATTATATAAAGAGTAAGTAAATAATCGACTGTAATCGATGTGATTTTTAACAATATTTAAACCTCCAGCAGCACTGGTGTCGATGCTGGGCATGTCAGCGTGGATGATGCTGACGAAATGATAATCATGTCTGGCTATAAACGTTGCGTGGCCTGCAAAGATTACACCTCGACGGTGTGCAAAAGCTGCGACATGCCCTTTTGCGATGCTTTATGCTGGAGCATTGTCTCCGAGCAGCACGACAGGAAGTGCGGCACCGGCCAGAGCGTGGCCATTGATGATCAGAATTTGAAGAAACTACTTCCCAAAGCTGGTCTACCGCCACGCCGCTCCAAGGTCAAGATCACTGCCTTTGAGCAGTCGAATGTGGTGTATGTGCGTCCGGCGGATATCCTCTCGGAAATGGCCTACTACCGCGTGCTCACTGAGGTCTGGATGCATGGCAAAAAGGCGCCCAAACTTGACCAGCTGCCCGTTTGTGGTCAGATTGTCATCTACAAGTTTGAGGCAGAAATTGTGCGTGCCCTGGTGCTGAATGTGGACAATCCAAAGGATATATGCGTGGTCTGCATCGATTTTGGCAGCGTTGAGTACACAGCTCCAGGCAATCTGTATCAATGCGGCTCCACTGTGGCCGATTTGCCGCGCTACGCTACGCCCGTGAAGCTACGCGGTGTGCCAAGGCGCGCATTGACCCCACATCTGCGTGAGGCAATGTACGCCGTGCAGGGGAGTTTAGTCTTTGAGCTGAGATACCACAAACGGGAGTACGACTACGAAAATCACATGCAGACGGCCGTGCTCATCGATCTGGAGATGAATAGAGGTTTGAATAGCTTTTTCAAAAAGATTATGACACCCGTCGATCCCGGCTTGCATGGACGCGGATTCAATGAAGATGTAAGCTTGAAAGTTCCATCGGCATTTCAGCATTTTAATTTGTCTTTTTGTTGCTTTAGTTTTTGCCGCATGTGGCTGCGCCACCAGGAAAGAACATTGACTTGATTGTCACTGACAATTCGTCCCTAAAGTACGGCATCATCCACTGCACACCCGCTGGCTTGGCAGTGGATATCACAAAAATGCAGCGCGCATTCCAGGACTATGGAGAAAAGATTGCCAAAGCGGAGACCTATGCTGCTCCGTAAGCGCAGACACAAGCCCACAAGCCAAGAGCATTTCTAATCAATTTTATTTGCAGGAAAGGTGAACTGTGCATTGCCAAATATAAGGACAAATGGTGTCGCGGCGTTTCGATGGAGCTTGTGGGTGATGGCTATCCCAGCATTTTGTTTGTGGACTATGGAAACATTGTGCCCATCCATGTGACCGATATCCGTGCATATCCGGAGCAATTAACATATCCCATATTGACCACTGAATATGATTTGATTGGTAAAACATTTTGATTCGCATGCAAAGCAAAGCAAATTTATATTTCCTTCTATTTGTATCTTAGGTCTTCCCGAAGAGCTCACCGATGCGCAGGTCAAAAGTCTCGAGAAACATCTACAAGTGGGTGCCCGTGTGACCTGCGATGAGATAGTTAAGAGCCAGGAAAACAATTACTCGCTGCGCCTGGAAAACCTGCAGAAGCTGCTGCAGTGAAAAGGCCAGAACTAATGGGGATTACGGAACTTATTATATGAATATCCAAAGTGCCATTACATTCCTACATTCATCTATAATCAAAATAATAAATAAAGTCGGTAAGCCTTATGGCCTACCCCAAAGAGTTGTCCAACAACAACGTTAAATATTAAATCTCGTGCTTCATTTACTTAACGTTTTTCTTTATACAAATGTTGCTTAGGCTCTCCAGATTAACGCTGATGGAAGCATCCTGCAAAGAATAAATTAAACTATTTAAAATAAACAGAAAATTCTGCGTAAAGTGCTGTAATACCTCAAGAAACTCTTGACTGTAAGGTGGCTCCACTTTCAACCAATTTGCCAAAGCCTGCCAAAAGTAAAAGTCAAATAAAACAATGGCAATTTATGAGCACTCACATTGGTAGCTCCTCCAGGTACTAGCTCCAGACTCTTATAAAACTCCAGCTCCTCAGAGCATCCACTGGATGTTATCAATGTGTAAACTTTTGTGTCCATTTCCCTGCCAGCCAGCAGCTGTTCCGCCCCCGAACTCGCGTCATAATTGTAAATAATGAGATACTTGCAGCGAAGATAACGTATCTCTGACGAGCGACTGGCCAATACCAAGGCAACCCTTTCTGACTGATCCTCTGTGGAGTTAAATAACGCCACATCGCTGGCATTTTCCAGCTGCACGTGTGGAATGTCATAGGAGCGACAGTAACCTCTGAACAGCTCCAGGCAATTCTGACTGTTTGCTAGAACGCAGATTTTGTGGCTGCCAGCCAGGGCGAAGTCATCGAGCATCAGAGACACAAACTCAAATTTGGCCGAATCATCGGGACCCATTTCCTGCCAGGGCGGCAGCTGGAGCAACAGCAACTGCATCGCCTCGCAGTTTTGCAGCTCACCCACTCGAGTTTTCAGCAGCACGGGATGATCGCAAATATGTTTAGCAAGTTCAGCTAGCAAGATCGGTTCCTAAAATAAGCAAGAGTTAGAATTACGCTCAGGATTCTTGAGTTATTACCATGTCCGAGCGTTGACTGAGTTCACGGAGCAACTGGAGTGCTTTAGCTTGAAGTTCTGCGGGTTGCAGGAAGCACATGTATTCGATTTGCGTGCAAGTGGTTGCTGGGGCATTGCATTTCTTCAACAAGGATGTCCTGAGGGGTGGGTTGACTGGAGGATCTGACACGCTGCACGTTTTACTGCTATCCCTGGGCGGCGTGGGAGTTTCAATGTGGCCGTTTACTGCATCAATTTTTGCACACCAATTTGCAATTTCCAGTTTCCGATATTCAATGCACTCCTCAACAGTCTTGAACTCATCTTGCAGCTCCACATCTTTGCTGCCAACCTGCAGCTGATCGTTTTCCTTGAAGTTTCTCTGGCGGAAGCACGTCATGCTGTCCACAACCTTCCCAGTGTCGTCTTTCAGCGTGGCCTTCGATTCGGCTATCACCAGGGTGCCATTGCCAGTCCAAATTTTGTGCTTTTTGGTGGTCTGATTCCGCCAGAGCACATGAAAGATGCGGCCTTCCTTGAGTGGATTTTCGCCAGGTTTTATCTCCCGTGGTCCCACACTCTCGTACCCCTTGGCAGTGCCCCATTCCATGGTTGTTGGTGTAGCCGCGGGCCAATCAGCTGGCGGTTCCTCTTGCTGTGCCACTTCTTGATATCCCCGCTTTGCGGCCCGACGCACGGAAGGAGCCTGGGAGCGACGCATTTTGTCAATTTTAGGTTTAAAATTCGCAATAAAAAGTTTGCGGGTTGTCTTGAAAGTAGTCGCAGTCGATCGATAACCAGAATCGTTTTTAAAATAATATACTAAATCACTTGGTTTTTCATGTTTGCATTCTAACATAAAGTCATTCTGAAAATGTTTAAAAGCAGCATTGAAAACGGAATTGTAACATTAATAAATAGAAATAGGGTGTACCGGTCGGACATGCAACAAGTAGTCAAAAACGTAACATTCCCTTTACGTTACGTTTATGCTCAGATCCTTTTTGTTTACCTTTTTGTTTCAACCTTGTTTTGAAAGCATCCAATCAAATTCTGCCCTTATAAATAGCCAATCTTGTAGAGAAACAATTGATGTATCGAATGAAAGTATAGTTTTAGTGTTGAGAATCCTAACAAGCTGTTAATATTGAATTGAATATCAAACAAAAGAAAAATGATTTAGGACCAGCACTATTTGCGGTATATTTTGCAATTGAGCAAGTATTTTTGGAAGGGTCATGCGGTATGGCCTATCGATAAATCCGCGGTCACATTGATGGTATCATGAAGTAACTATAAGGAGGCCTCGTCGGTGGCAGAGTTACTCGTTGCTATTCCTTATTTTCAGTGCTCGTTTGCTTGTCGATATGTTTCATGTTGTTAAAAATGTTTATTTTATCAAAACACAGACTACTATCATGTAGCAAACTATTAAAAATTAAATTATGAAACAATTATTATGTTTTTTCAAATTGCCTTCAAATCAGCACACTCCGTTGTCGTTGCCCTCACACCTACAGAGAAAGCCCTTTCACCAGCACTTGTCACTCGCACGTTTGCAAAATTTTTTTCGACGAGACCTCCCTACATAGTTTCTTCATGGATGGTATCAACACGAGAACAAGCCGGCAGCAGCTTTTAAGCATTCGATTCGTTTTGAAATCACAGAAGATACATACTACATACATATATAGGAATCACAGGAGGCCTGGTAGAGGCCCACGCCCATTATGGCGTTCCATTGGTGCGACAACAATTTGCACACTACGGTGTTCACGCCGCGTGACTTCCAAGTGGAGCTGCTGGCAGCCGCCTATGAGCGCAACACCATAATCTGCCTGGGCCACAGGAGCTCCAAGGAGTTTATTGCCCTGAAGCTGCTGCAGGAGCTGTCCCGCCGCGGTCGCCGTCATGGCAAGGTTAGTGTTTACATCAGCTGCCAGGTGGGAAAGGACAAGGAGCCCGCGGCCATGTACACGATGCTCACACACCTGACGGACCTGCGGGTGTGGCAGGAGCAGCCGGACATGCAATTGCCCTTTGATCACTGCTGCAGGGACTATCATGTGTCCATTTTGAGTCCGGAGGGACTCCTCTGCCTGCTGGAATCGCGTGAACTGCCGCTGAGCAGCATTGAGCTGATTGTGCTCGAGGACTGCCATGACAGCGCCGTCTATCAGCGCATACTGCCCATATTCGAGGAGCACATATTGCCGGCTGCGCCGGCAGACAGACCGCGAGTGCTGGGCCTGGCCGGTCCTCTGCACAGCGCTGGCTGTGAGCTGCAGCAGCTGAGCGCCATGCTGGGCACCCTCGAGCAGAATGTTCTGTGTCGCATCGAGACGGCCAGCGACATTGTCACGGTGCTGCGCTACTGCTCAAAGCCCCACGAATACATCGTGCAGTGTGCGCCGTTCGAGATGGATGAGCTGTCGCTGGTGCTGGCCGATATACTGAACACGCACAAGTCCTTCCTGGTGGACCATCGCTACGATCCGTTTGAGATTTATGGCATGGATCAGTTCATGGAGGATTTGAAAGGTAAGTGGTTGACTGTAACGCCTCAAGCTCAAGCTAAACACCTTGATTTGATTTCGCAGACATACCCGATCCCAAGCTGGATCCGCTGTACGTCATCGACTCGCTGCTGGTTGTGCTGCATGAGATGGGTCCCTGGTGCACGCAGCGTGCGGCTCATCACTTCTATCAGAGCAACGAAAAGCTAAAGGTGAAGACGCCACACGAACGCCATTATCTGCTGTACTGCCTCGTAAGCACGGCCCTCGTGCAGCTGCACTCCCTCTGCGATCACACATTCCAGAAGCAACAAGGAGCGGGCGACCCACGGCACACTATTGAGCGGTATTCCAGTCCCAAGGTGAAGCGCCTGCTGCAAACGCTGCGCTGCTTCAAGCCGGAGGATAGCCATGGCCATGGGCAGGCCGATGGACTGCGCAAGATGCGCCATCAAGTGGAGCATGCGGACTTCAACAAGCTCTCCCATGCGCTGGAGACCAAGTGCCAGGTGGTGGATCAGCTAGAGACGCAGGCAACGGACACACGCAGCCTGGTGGCCAATCTGGAGCACATATTGCAGCATCCAGAGGGCAAACCTTTCCCGAAACGCAACAGCCATCGCCCCCCGCCACCAACCACCACCCAGGCGCAGTCATCGCCAGCGAAGGGCAAGCACGGCGCCAACTCGCACAACCGTGTGCGGCGGCGTGTGTACACGCGACGCCACAATCGGGATCAGCACGATGGCGGGGACACGCTTTGCGCGCTGATTTATTGCAACCAAAATCACACGGCGCGCGTGCTGTTTGAGTTGCTGGCGGAGATGAGCAAGCGGGATGCCGATTTGAAGTTCCTGCGCTGCCAGTACACCACGGATCGGGTGGCCGATCCCGCCACAGAGCCCAAGGAGGCCGAGCTGGAGCATCGCAGGCAGGAGGAGGTGCTCAAGCGGTTTCGCATGCACGACTGCAATGTTCTCATTGGCACCTCGGTGCTGGAGGAGGGCATCGATGTGCCCAAGTGCAATCTGGTGGTGCGCTGGGATCCGCCAACAACCTACCGCAGCTACGTCCAGTGCAAGGGTCGTGCCCGTGCCGCCCCAGCCTACCATGTTATACTGGTGGCCCCCAGGTATGTCAGTCCCGTGATTGGCGAAGTGCAGCTGACGGACAAGAGTCATCGCTTTGTCTGCGGCCCGGCCGGAGACTCGACGGAGGTGGACAGCGACTCGGATGACTCGGCCATGCCGAATTCTCTTGGCTCCGATCCGTATACCTTTGGCACGGCGCGTGGCACCGTGAAGATTCTCAATCCGGAGGTTTTTAGCAGTGTGCCGCCCACGGCGTGCGAGATTAAGGAGATCCAGGACGAGACGCCAGCCATTGCCCTGGACAGCAGCAATTCCAGCGACGAGGCCGTCAGTCTGAACAACACCCCGCCCAGTGAGAGCCAATCCAGTGGGGAGCGCAAGCCCAGAAAGCGCTTCCAGTGTGAGGTGCCAGCGCCCAAGGAAAATGATGACCAAACGGAGGCCAACGCAGCTGTGGAGGATGGTCTGGCCAGCACCACAAAAGAGCTGGTCCATCAGATGGCCCAGTATCGGGAGATCGAACAGATGCTGCTCTCAAAATGTGCCAACACGGAGC